TAAACAAACAAATAAAAACATAACAGAAGACAATATAGTTTCTCCTTAATGAAAAAAAACTACCACTATCAAAAAGTTCGCGGTAAAAGTACATAACTAAAAATCATATGGAACGATTTTGATTTCAAATGCACCTGAACAGTCTCGTAACAACGCGTTCTAACGTCTTCTAACATGAGCCCTTAAATGCAGGTAACAACGCATCGCCGCCAATTGGAAGTCATGTGATCTGAACCATGTCAGAGCAGCTCTTTTTATATCTTCAACCGATGGAAAATTGCTACCTTTCAATGATTTTTTTTAAAAGTTTGGAAACAGAAAAGGGTAGGGTTAAATCGGGGCTGTGAGGTGGATGTCGGACGATTTCCCACCGAAATTCTTGCCTACCGAATGCAGTGAGCGGGTGCATTGTCGTGGTGGAAGAGAGCGCGTTGATGCAGCTTTCCAAGGCGTTTTTCTGAGATTCTTTTAGAACAGTTTTCTCAAAACACATTCATTATAAGCAGATGTATTTGTTTTCTTGTCAACCAGCAAAATCCCCTCTGTATTCCAGAATACAGGTGCCATAACCTTTCCTCTTGAACGCTCAGATATTGCTTTGACTAGTCCACTTCTACCCCTGGGAAGCCACTGCCATGCTTCATCCCCTGTTACAATTCTTATCCCACTTGTTCAAAATTTCCATTGAAATATCTACCCTTGTTTGCTGCTGATCTGGACGCAACAGCCTCAGGACCCATCGAGCGGAAAGGCTGCTTAGCCCTAAACTCTCCACCAAAATTGTGTGTGTAGAATCCAAAGAAATGTTGAGTGTCTCTGCTACAGCTTCAGTGGTTATTCATCTATCCTTTTCAATCGTATCGCGAACAGAATCAACGTTTTCCACACAAACTGGCGTTGATGACCTGCCACTGCGGGGATCATCTTCCACTTTGAACCGACTTATCCATTTGCAAGTTGTTGATTTCTTTGGGGGCATTATCACCATAAACTTGTTGCAGAGCGTCAATGATCTGCCTATTCTCCCAACCGAGTTTCACCATGAATGTTTGTCCTGGCCTCGATTTTGGTGGATTCCATGTTGCTTGAATGGTGCATGACTTCCAAATGTCGGCGATGCGTTACTACCTGCATTTAAGGGTTTATGTTTGAACACGTTATAACACGTTGGTACAAGTACGTTTAGGTGCATTGAAATCAAAATCCTTCCATACGAACTTTTTGAAGCCCGCTCGTATGTTAGTCTCTATTTCAAGACTGTAACACCAACGATATCAATACACACACACACACACACACACACACACACACACACACACACACACACACACACACACACTTTTTCTTCTTCTTATTAATACTGTTATCATTACTATTATCATAATTATTTTTATAATTCTTCTTCTTCTTATCATTATTATCTCTATTATTATTGTTATCATTATATATGTATATATATATATATATATATATATATATATATATATATATATATATATATATATATATATATATATATATATATATATATATATATATATATATATATATGTATATATATATATATATGTGTATGTATGTATATATACATACACACACACACACATATACACAGACAAACACACACACACACGCTTTTACTTCTTATTGATACTGTTATCATTAATATTATCATAATTATTTTTATCATTTTTCTTCTTCTTATTATTATTGATTTTATTACTTTTTTGTTATCAATAATCATTATTATCACTCCTACCATTATTATTACTATTATTATCATTATTGTTATTATTACTTTTATAATAACGATTTTTACTATTATTATGATTATTGGTATCATATCATCTCAATCATTATTATTATCTTTATTATTATTTTCATCATCATCTTCATTCTCATTCTCATTATCATCATCTTCATTCTCATTATTATTATTATCATTACTTTTATGAAATCATTATTAAATCATCATTATTATTACTATTAGCGTTATCATTATTATTGTTATTAGTAGTATTATCCTTCTTCTTCTTATTATTATTATCATTATTACTATTCTTCTTATTATTATTACTATTGTTTTATTATTATTATTATTAGCAGTAGAAGTAGTAGTATCATTATTACTGTTATCATTATTATCATTATCATTATCAACGTCATCACAATATATTATTATCACACACACACACACACACACATACATATATAACGATAATAACAGTCTAATAATGATTTTAATGACAGTATAAATAATACTTCTTTTGTATTTACTCTCTTATATGTCTTTCTTGCTTCCACTTTACTTGCTACTTCTATTATTTTTACTATGAATTCCCTTCACCTTTAGTGCTACTACTTTTACTAATGATTCTTCTCTTTCTTTGGTTATCATCAGTACCAATATTTATTCATTATTCTTTAGTTATCATAATTAATGCTCCTGTACTTTGTTCAATTCTCTTAAGAAAATGAAATAATAAGAAAGATGTGGTGT